AAAGTGTACAAAATTACACTTTTAATTAAAAGTGTACAAAATTACACTTTTACTTAATTTGCGTATTCATGTTATTAAATACCAATAAAGTAATTTTCACGTTGTGTGCTGCTTCTATTGTAATTGTTTTTTTTTTCGGTGAATCTATTGCTCTGTCTGATAAACCTAGGGTGTCTCGTCTTTCGGCGCCTCAGAATCTGCCTACCACCAACTCAACTGGCAGAGAAGATAAAGACAGCATTCATAGGAATGAAATAGGCCAGAGAGAGCTAACCCAAAGAAAACTTAACACTATTATTTAAGAAGAGGTGCATTATAGTATCTGAACGTGTTCCCAAAATTTGTAATTCCCAAACACAAAGTCCTGTTAAATGTCTTTTGTCTCAACGGTCTTCTTCACAACAGTCAAGAGTTGGGAAGAATGTGAAGGTCGTCCTTCATTACTATGACAACCGTCAGTCGATATAGTGCATGTGAGAAAATGTATAATTGTCATAGTTTGTTCGCGAAATAAGCATATTCAAATTAACAGCGAGATAATGTAACAGCCAATCAACGTTAAGATTTAACCACTGGCCACTTTGATTGGCTGTTATATATATCTCGCTGTTAATCTGAATATGCTAATTTCCTGAACAAACCAAGACAGTTCTGTCTGTTCCGAATCATACATATTTAGTCTATAAAACGGTCTTCTATTCGCATGAACAGATGTGTATCGCGCAAATGTGAGTTAATTTCTAGTGTGTGCAATTAAATCTGCCGACCAATCGAACAGTTGGCGTTTGATTTAGTCTATATACTGTTCAAACACTACTTTTAATTGCGTATTCGTTCATTTAAAGTGGGGGCGCTTTTCTTGACAACCGTTTTTAGGTTAAACCGCACTAACTTTAAATTGTAAATCAGTTGATGATAGAAAACACTGTATCACCGATGTTAAAAGATTGAGTGTACACAGATCTACATCACTGATTCGATTGGTTAGGGATAAAGTTACAGACACCATAAACATGGGGAAATTATTGTGTCCCCGTCGTAAAAGTGTTTGTGTTGGGAATCGTTTATAAACGTAATATTGCCCCCCCCCCCAAAAAAAAAAATATAAAAGTAAACTAATAATGAATTTGGAATCAAAGATTCATGAATTCGATAGCACAAGTAGTGACGTTACAGGGCGTGTCCGATCAAATATACGTTATGAAAATAATGTACGAATTGAAAGAGGAAATGTCACGGGGAAATAAGTATAATGCCCACGTCTGTTAATTTCCCAGCGGTCATAACGGGAGTCTCAAATATGAATACTGAGATTGTGGATGGCTAATTGACTGCAGAATACAAATTTAGATTTGTAAACACTCACAACAATCAAGAGACTTTGTTTGTTCGAAAGGTCAGTTTCATTTTGGGTATGTTTGTTCCAGTGGGTGACCCAAACAAACGTTCCTTGGCCCGTTCCTCCACTCGGGCTGATAACGTAGAGCACTATATCCCCGAGACATTGGTTCACATCCGAGAAGCCTCAGGTTGAGTGGAAAGGCACGTGCATTAAAACCGACCACATCCACACGTCGTTGGTGGCGGTAGATAAGAATGTAAGGTTGAAGTAGGACGACAGCACAAAACAAGCTCTTGAAAAAACAATTCACGTATCAACACGTATCTATATTACAACATCGTATTGCAATAGAAACCTGTGCTTCATTGCATTATTAAACTACGATATTTGTTAACCGCCAGGTAGTGGTGGAATATTCCACTCCATATATGTATAAGATGTACGCCTATTACAGATATTAGTCCATCAGATTGAGTATATAATATTAAAAATTAACATGATTTTCCAAATTATATTTCGATCCGCTTCACAAAACTCAAGCGTGATATCGGTAGAAACTATCGATCGACTTATATTACCTTTATTCGAACTAAAACGGGTTAAATCCTGTGAAAATCTAAACACCAGAGCAAATAGGACAAATCCATCTACGCGGATTATTTGAAGCAGAGACCCGAGCATGCGCACTTCCAAACATGTACGCGCGTACTGCATAGCCTCAAAATTTAAATGTTGTATGTTGTATCATTATACGTTGTATTTTTAAATTGAATTGAATGAAATTGAGCTAATAGTTCGCTATATAAAAAAAAACATCTGCATCGGTTTTTGATGACCTACTTTAGGTCATTTTTTATTATCCAAGTAACATTCCGAGCGCCTTTGGATCAATCCTAATAACAGAATTATCGAAGCATTTAAAGTAAAGTGATGCATTGTTTGTCGACTTCATTACACACATCACTAATGTAGCTGTAATAACACACTATAGTCTGGTAGATAAATGTAGAGTCGATAACCTCGAAGGAACTGTAGTCTACCTGTATCCATCCATGTTACTTTCGCTCACAGTCTACCATAAGGATTCCTTGTCTGATTGCGGGATCACAATTTAGCTGATTTACCAAACAGTGGCGGATCCAGCAAAATGTATTGGGGGGGTCCAAGCTACGTAAATCGCAGAGAAGCTATGCGTAATCCAGATGATACGAATCGTCATGCGTTTGGGGGGGGGGGCATGGCCCCCTCTGGATCCGCCACTGTTACCAAATTCAGCTCAATACAATTAATGTTGCTCACCACTAGTCCGATTTCCAAATAAAGCATTCCCGTCGTAACCAGTTATCGAGCGTTACTTTTGAAAGAGATTAAGTGTTTACCATTTAAAATCGAGGGATCCATAGATACATGCATTCAGGGCTATTCGTTTACACTTTCGTTTTCTCAATACGCAGCTGCATGCATTACTATACTATCGTTAGAACTCATTGGGCTATATGAAATAGTAGCTGACTTCTCAATCCATGATTTCTATTTTATATTGAGTGTCCTTATATGTTTCATCGGGAGGAGGGGGGGGGGTTACCGACCATTTTATTCGACAAGTATTCTTTATTTGATCTCGGATCGTTGAAAACATTTTGCTTAACGAATTTATCGACACGTACGCACTTTGCGGAAAACTGTCGCATATCTATTCATGAATCTAATTGCTTAAGCTAATAATGTTTAGTATGATCCTGTTTTGTTTCTTCAATGTTTAATAAAAGGTAGTCATCGACCTTGTCAGTTGTTTTAGCAATGTATTTAGCAGCTTTTTTAAAAAAACGTGTTGAGAAAGGTGATTGGTCGCCAATGTTGTATGAATCTTTTATATTTGCCCTTTTCCCCAATGGGGTAATTACACCTTAACATTGACTGTGAGACACGTGGCCTCGTTTTTTCTCTTTATTCAAAGACTAGATTACAGGTAATCTAATGAAGGGCCAGACAGTCAAGTAGAAATTCGTTGAAAGGCCATTATTCCCATGGGTTTCATTTTTCTTCATTTAGCGACGGTAATTTATTAGTTAAAAGCATTTACAATAATTCTACAGCCCTAGTAATAAAAAGACATTTTACAGAAAATTCTTGATAACAAAAAGGTGAGAGGCAGGAATGTCCGCTGTTACATTATTATTTATTTTGGTAATCAAAAAAAAAAACAAAAAAACTATAGAATATAATAAGACATTGCCATCTGACTGACGACATGACCACGTTTTCAGAAAATGAAAATAACCTTATATATAATGGTGATTACTGGGAGGTATTTTGGAACATATTCAAGGCTACAATTCAACAACGAGTTATCTTACTTATCTTTTGTCTCAGTTACTAGTAGCTTCGCGATACTAGTGGCTTTCGCGATAAGTGGGTTTAGTATCTGGTGGGTTTCGCGTAGAGTAGGGCTTTGTCTCAGTAACTGGTCCTTTCATCCTTGTTGAGAATTAAATGTTATGTTTCTTTAACAACTGGTGCTATTCTGGGGATACCATCCTGGCAGGTGTTTCAAAATAAGACCCATGCTCTGATAATGCCTCTAGTTTCAAAGACCAATAAACATTACCATTATGATCTTATTGGTGTTGCAAAGAATAGTCGAATATTGTTTATTAATTCCCATAATCGTTTTCCG